GTGCTGGGTTTTTTTTTTACTATGGGGAACAATCTGAGAAAAGATATTCAGATACTATAAAGAAAATCACAGAAAAAGTAACAAAAGATTGATTTAGAAGGCAATGCTGCTGCTTATGTTTTTCTATGGAAGGAGTAAAGCCAAACAACTTAAAATCAGAAAATTTGTTCAGTGAGAATCCCTTTTTCCCCATATGTACACTCAAGCTATTGCTTCAGAACTGATCAGAATTCTGTGTTTAATTGGTCAAATAAGAGAGCTCTTGAATGGAACCAACTACAGCCATTCATTCAATCATTTACTGCCTTTCTTGTAAGCATCAACATTTACTTTAATTTTCTTGGCACAAACACCAAATTCATCTTATGATGCAGTTTCATAATGAGGATAAATCTTTCTTAGGTTTTATACTTGAAGTGTGGGTGTTAGAACCTCGAGCAGACCTTTATGAGAGGATCGGGAATAACGTAACTCTATGGTGTACGAGTTACCATACGAGTTACCATGTCGACCCAGTAAAAATAGAAGAAAGAAACAACATAGTGAGGCTAAAGTCTTTATCTTTTCAATTTCTGCACTTGGTTTCAAGGATTAGTCCTTTTTTTTCTGCAGTAAAAACTGATTATACTTATCCCTTTACATGTGAAAATAAAAATCTGAAAACGTTTAGGAAAGTCAAAAGGTGACTGATCAGACGGCTAAAGCATTCTTATAAAGAAACAAAAGTTAATATCGAAAGTGACAAAAGCATTCTTTGTCTAGCACTTTTCTGCAAAAATACTTGTGAAAGCTGAAATTTAGAGCCTGTTTGGTAGAACTTCTCATTTTCTACAGTAANAAATACTTGTGAAAGCTGAAATTTAATGGCTGCCATTTTGTATAAATCTTTATGCTTTTTATCTTCTAAGAAGACCCCATCATTGACTAATCATCATTGGAATGGTTTCTTGTGAAGATCAGAAAAAAAAAATTAAAAAGAGTTACAAAATCTCCCCACAGAATCCAAGATATTCTTGAAAACACAAACATAACAAATAAAAATTGAAGGTATTAGGGATTAAGTTTTAATCCATTCTTACTAGATCAATAATAAATGAAAAATAAGCCGCTACTTTTGAAGAATTTACTATAATAGAGAAGAAAGGCACATTGTTTCTTCACAAGTCTCTCACAAACTCAATAATAAGCCATATAAAACCTTTATACCATAGGAATATAAAATACATGTACGAAATACCCAATATGCTCACACAATAAGATACATATACTCTGGAAAATATTAAGTCGAGGTGCCATTGATGAGGTAAGTGTTACACTATGATTAAACTTCATAATCCAACAGAAAAGAGTTAAGATAAATTAATAAGAAAGTACCTTAACAACATCCTCAAACTCCTCAGATGGAGAAATTGGAGGGCTGTCTGTTTCTTCTGTCAAACAGCCATTCAGAGGCCCACTGCTGTGAGACAGTCTTCCAGATGTTAGTGGTGATATTTCCTGCATTTTCCATTACAAAATTTAAATCCCGTAAACACTGCACCATTTCATGAGAATCCCTTTTGTAAACAAGAAAGATCATGCACCAATATTCGAGTTCATTGTATTGTACTGGACAACATTTTACACTTAACTTTAGTTTATTTTCTTCTTTAATATTGTCTAATACTGTTGAGTCGAGCCTAGCACAAAGGACTTACCGATTGAGACATGATGCGTTCGAGGACTAGTTGAGAAGTTGTTGAAGAAGCGAAAGAGAATGTGTTTCCCGAAAGCTTGGCAGATTCCTCTTCTTCCCCGGAAATATTTTCCGGGATGGCAAGATGAGCATTGCTAGCCGATGCTGCATTTTTTGGTATTGACATTAATGGAGTTAAAGGAGCTAAAGCCTTGGACACTTGCAAGGCTGAGGCACTCCATGATCTTGAGAGAAATTCCATGGGCCCTCTCGGGCTTTCCGGTAGCTGAATTTTGCGGCCGGTGGAGTTCTTCTCTGCCCATAACAAGTCCATTGTGTTATGCATATCAAAAATGTAAAGTGGTATGGTGTATTGATAGAACTGATGGTTCAGTTCTTTTTATAGTGTGGGGGGGAGCAGGGGTAGGGGGAGTTTTTTGTATAGGCTCAGCACCTTGTGAACTCTTTGGTCAATAGATTCAAGAGTCATGCTATGTGTACATAGATATACACATAGGGTTCACATGATGTGAGTGGGGTGGGGCTCATGCTACAGTATCGTGGGTCCCACCCCACTCACATTATGTGAACCTCTATGTGTACATTTATGTACACATAGATTAATCCTAGATTCAAAAGGTTTTTGCTGCGGTCAATAAGGTTTCTTTGATGACGTGGATGACATGTGAAGATTATCAAATTGTGTACGAGTTACTTCTCTTATTATTTCTTTTTGTAAATCGTTTTCAAGAAAGCTTTTAATTTTTAACTGTAAAATTGACGACTTCAATCGATTAAAACGACTAGCGACCAAAATGCTAAAAAAAATGAGTTAAATTATGGGCGGTCGTGAAATCCCATGAGTAATTTTGCCCAAGAATGATGCGTCTTTTCTTTTTTAAGGAAATGGATTTGACAATAATGATTTGCTAAATCTTACTTCTTTAACCACCATCCGATTTAACTACCAACCCTAAAAGCAAGGTTCAGTTTAAAAGTTAAATCTCCTTTTTTGTCCATTTTCTGTTTTCCATTTTAGGCAATATGTTCTTGACAATTAATCATTCACAAATCACAATCATGACCTAAATATGAATCACACGTACACAAAATTTAGTGTTCATGAGTAAATTAGATCCACAAACACTACATTTTAGTCATCTTTATTTATTTATATTATCCTTTTTTTTTATATAACCGTGGATGTCCGAGTCAGCTTGCGCGCACCTCGACTAATTCCACGAGACCTTGAAATTTACGGTGGGGTACTCATCACAGTGGCTCTGAGGAAACTCAAATTGGTGACCACTAAGGAACAAACTCAAGATCTGACCAATTGAGCAACCTTTCAAGGTTTATTTATATTATCTCTTCAAAATGTAGTTTTATGTGCAAACAAATGGATGACTATAAATTTGAATTCATGAACTCCACACATTAAGCTCGACCGATCAACACCTAGACTGCAAGGAAAATTGACTAAGAATGGTACTGTTTCCACTTGTACATCCATGTCTCAAGAATGGGCAACATCACAACCCGACCAACTTTGTTTTGACCCCAAAAGATTTTCCAAACAAACACTGGACATCTCTGTACCAATTCCCAACTTCTGTATTCAAGGCGTGCCTGAAGACGTCATCATACACACCCCACCCAAGTCCTTTAGATTTTGCCTCTCAAAACTCAAAGTTTCTTCCCCAAATTAGCTGAAGAAAGCTTTTGGCATTACAGAAGAATAGAAAGGATTGGTTTTTTCTTTAGTCTTTTACCTGCTAGAAGAGAATATAACTTGTGAACAGCACAAAGAGACAGCTTTATTCCCTTTGCTTCATAATCTTAAATCATCAACTTGTCATCTACTTTTCAGTTGTTTTTGCATTCAAATTCACTTTCTTCATTACTATTTCAAAACATTCCGTCTTTTTCTGCCATCATTCTTTTCCTTTTACAGACTGGATGCCATTCCATATACAAAAAGAAGAATCTACTTCAACCGATAAAACAAGGGAATGAGGCCGTTCGCGCACATTCAGGAATATTTAGCATTCTCATACTGAAATTAAAAAAACTGCGACTTTAGTTTCTGTTGCTACTACCCTTAACAATCTGTAACACAAGATTCATTTCATAAGACTAACACTCGTATCTGTAAAATACGAGAAATGGCTGAAATCCTTCAGAGACGCTGGCTGAAATCCTCTTGATTCATTTCTTGTTTTTGGACCAATAAATTCTATATAAAAAATATATTTTGTAACGCGACCTAAACTCTAGCATAGTGATATTTTCATTAAATCTGCACTTCGATGTTGAGTACTCGTTCTGAAACATTATCTGGATACCCCACTTGTCAAATATATATATCTTGCTATCAATTTCAAATGTCAACTGATAACCATGAATAATTTGAAGGCACAAAAACCTTGCAAAGTGATATTTGGGAATTTGATACCTCATTCTGAAATTTCGGTCCTCCATAATTTTCCTGGGATTCCCAAATTATTGCTTGTAGTTAGTTTTACTGTTTTCATTCTGAATTTCAGAATAATTTCAATAACAACTAGAATATAAAAGCCACTGGGAAGGGGTAAACCTGTATGAACTGTTGAAGCTGGATAGAGATTTTTTTGAAGAAAACAAAAAATTGTATGCATATCACGTGCAAATCAACAGGTAAACAAAAGCATGGAAGAAAACATCTCCATACTTGGATTTCTTGGAAAAACTAAGTGTCAGAAAAGACCGCAATAGGATTTACTGGCTTAGGGAGAGAGACAGAATAGTCATTTGACAACACTTGAATTGGATCATGTAGCTATAGCCTATAGCCATAAACCCATTGAGTGGATGTATCCATGAATAAACTTGGTAAGGGTCCAAACTTGCATCCTTTGGCATTGTTTAAAGGACTGAATTATAGAATTAGATTTTCAAATTTAACGTCAAAGATCCCGAGTACACCAGGTTAGGGCACAGAACAATAGAGGTGATCTAAGTATTATAATGAGATATAAAGAACGATCAAGGAAACAAGTTGTAGTTATTTGTTAATTGTTATGTGAAACCTGGATATCTTACGATATTTGATTAATGGCTCACACAATAAATCCAGTTCGTAACAAAAGTGGTTCTGCCAATAGTACTCTATGAGATTGGTTCATACAAAATTAAAGGAAGTAGCCATGAGGAAATGGACTCTCGCTCTTGCCTCAAGTCAAAGTCCACCTTGAGATTCTCTCAAATAACTACAAAATTTGAAAGGTAATGCAAGTGACAATAAAATTAGGAAACAACAGGTGAAACAAAGGAGCATCACCGACCTCTATCTGTTTGGCTGCAAACCGCTGCTACCATAATACTGCTTTGTAGTCTCTCTTGAAAATTCAGCAAAGGTCATTCCATCCTTCAGCCGTGAATGTAGTGGTGGAACTAACTGATGGATATTTTGAGTCAATCCATTTGAATCCTTCCCAGCACCATGTGTCCCCTCACGATATGACTCAGAATCCTGACTGCTTGAAGTTAACCGTTCCATGGGATAATCTGAAAGATGAAAATTCTTGCTCCATGCCGGCTGTAAAAAAACAACAAAATTCTCCCTGCTCAAATTCTCCATCTTTTCCGGTCTGCAAACACAATGAAGTGTGGCCCGTAGCTTCCCCTTTGAAAGCACATCCGCAGATTCCCCCACCTGAACAATAAGGCTCTCCATAGACGCCTTCACCATAAGCACACGATTTTTTTCAGGATCCAATATTTGTAAATATGTATGATCACTTGGATACTCGCATTCTAGCTCAAAATTTGCATTAGACAACATAAACATCGGGGCTGTCAGAATTGTAAATATTCCATAGTCATAATGCCACTGCTGCCACAAATCCAACTTCTTCTCATCACATACCTTAACTTCATTACCCAAATTAACTTGGCTAATTCTCCGTCCTTTCCTTTTGGCTGCTTCTTTTAGAACGAAATTATCTATACGTGAATGATAATGTATCAAACGCCCTTTAGCTGTCCCAGACTGCAATAAGCTATGTTCTAGCTCATGGCCACCAACTACTCTATCACAAATTCGAGCAAGACAAAGCCCTAACTCCATCATACAAAACCCTAGCTCCTTAAACACTCTTCCTAGATTCTTAAATTCCTCATCCTCAAACTCCCCTTCCATTTTCTTATTATTAACTCCATTAGTTCTTTGCTCATACTTCATTTGCATTGCAAATGACGACACGATTCTATCCAGGTCCTTCAACGGCACATCACTCCCCAAACTGTGCTCCTATTTACTTATAAAAACGAAATAAAAACATATAATTGTAATACCAAATATTACTAAATCATTAAATTCCATTTTAACTAATCGAAAGGAAATTCTTTTAATTTTTACCTTGAGGATGAGTTTTCGGTTATCGTTATTGAGAAGAGAGAGTTTTCGAGCTAAAGGAAGGAGAGCTTGCCGGAGAATGGAAGCTTTGGGAACGCCGACAATCGATAGCAGGCCGGGTCCTGTCGGGCCTAAATTTTGCATAACTATTTCAGAAACTGTTTCCAGCCGCCTGATTTCCTCCGGCGACTGTTGTGATTTGTTGGAAGACAATAGTATAAGATCAGAATACTGGAGTTCGTAGAGTTGAAGAATTTCTGGTTTTCCTTCCATTTCACAGAAAAAATTTCATGCGGACTTGGGGATAGGCAAGTCTTTTT